CCTGGACGTCGAGGGCGGCGTCGGCGAACGACGCACTACCCCATCCGCGAGCGCCATTGCGACAATGGAAGCTGGTCAGGGGCACGATCACAGTCACGCACACGATCCGTCCACTACGACCGATGGTAGCGCGTCGGTCGCTGCCGTCCAGGTGCAATTGGAACAAGTCCAGATCACAGCGCCCGCTGCGCAAGACAACGCAGCAACGGGTGTGGAGAAGCCAGGAAGCAGCTTCAAGAAAGCGAAGGTGAAAAAGAAGGTTGCGTTTATCTCGGAGCGGCCAGATTTGTACGATTTCTAGCCCATTGTCCCTGTTATGTCCTTGCATAGACATCATCAATGTAGCCCTAACCAACATGATATCATGTATCTATCAGTTCGTTTGTCCTCGTCGAGGATGGCAAATAGCCCGTTATACAGGGTGATGGTTCGGAACGCTGCGAGGTGTGACTGTCAGCTTGTCGCACTGGTGAGACGCTCGCAGGACGTACCTTAAGTAGCTTGGATGGTCTCCATGACTGACCGCAACTGCGGTGTATTCCTGCGTGGATATTGTACAGATGGGATTGAGTGAGCGAAAGTGGGCAGAGCGCGATAGCAGCGGATAACACAGGACAGGGATGCGTGGGGAGACGTCGTCGGCGGAGTGGCGTCACGGTCGTATGTCGTCGTCGCGGGTCATGTCTGCGGAGCATGAGGCCCAGAAGGTCGAGGAGCGTCCAACGTGGAGTGGGGGGGCCGGTCAGGGGGTATGCATGGAAGCCACGCTGGGGACGATCACCGTCAGTGGCCGAGTGGGGCAGAAGACACATGGGAGACCGGTACCCACAATGGCTATGATAATCGAGACGTGCCGGCGTAGACCATCCGGAGCGCTGGGGGCGCGACGTCCATCTCTCGCTGCGCGTTCATCCTCCTGCACTCCATGAGGAGCTCCCTCAGCGTCGACAGCTGCGGCGGCCCCTCGCTCACCACACTCTCATCCTCCTCTTCCTCGTCCTCCGGATCCATCGGCAGCGTGCCCAGCGTTTCGCCAGTGCAGTCCTCCAGCCTCACGCCCTCTTTCTGGCACTGACGCCACCACCGCTCCCAGCGCTCGTAGCACTTCTGGCTGGGTCCGTTATTGGCTTCCAGATCCGAGAGCAAAGTCGTGTTCAAGACGCGGATGTGCTCGAGACGAGGGAAGTTCCGCTTGTTCAGCGCAGCGAAGTTGACATCGTTCCGTCGGCGGATCATCTGGGTAGCAAAAGGGTCGACCTTGTCATAGGTCGCGGCGTAGCCAACTCCGAAGGCATACAGAAGATGGTGTAGACCGATTGTGGTGATGTTTGCATGCGGACGTCGAACCATAGAGCTCTCGAGGAATGGATGGTGTTCCCAGCCTGGGATGCGCCAGTCCGGATTGAAGGTGAAGGTCGTCAGGAGTGGGCAGAGGTCGAGGATGGCCGACACGTCCAGAGTGGGGATGATGTTTAGATCGAGCAAGGTGAGTTCTGCGCCATGCATCCTGAGGAATTCGAGCAAGTCGGGGAAGTCGTCTCGGTGATTAACAAAATCGAGACAGAGTGCCTTGAGCGAGGGTAGGTTCCAGCCGATAGCCTCTTCAAGGAAATCTTGGAAGGGTCCCCGCAGCGAGAGATGCTGAAGTTTCTTCAGGGTGAGCGCAAGGTCTGACGCGGCACCGAGGTTGATCTGCTCAGGGGGTGTCCCGTCGAACTCGATGTGGGTGGTCACGAGCTGGGGCAGACATTGCAGCATGAAGATGAGTCTCGCAAGCGACCTCGTGGGTATATTGATGTGGAGGACACGCAGACTTCGCGGACAGTACGTGCAGAGAGCATCACCGACGGCCTTGAGGGTGTTGGACAAGGGCCAGTTGACCACGAAGATCTGGAGGTTTGGACAATGTCGGATGATGGACACCAGGGAGTTCTGTGTAGTCTCCATGGTCGTCCCTCCTCCGGCGAAGTAGCGGGTGATGTGCAACCGCTTCACCCACCGCCCCAGGTCCTTGTCGCGGTCCATCAGAGCGCACACACGCTGGATGTTGCGAGGGTTGCTGAAGAACAGGAACCTGTAGAAGAACTCATAGCCCAACCTCCTCCAGGTTCTGCAGGTGGCCATGATAGACTGCGTGGCTCGTCGGAATCTACTATGCACTACTGCTAGGTGGGGGACTGACCTTCTTCGTGGCATAGCTCCGCCTCTGCGCATTGTTCACGCCTTCTTGTGCGGTACGCAATGACCAGTCTCCGTACAGTGTCTTGAACCAGGATGCTTCGGAGAAGGCGGTCGGCAGTGTGTGGTCGAATAAATCAGCGTCGTCGACGGCAAGGTCGAAGATGTCCAGCCAGAGCTCGTCGGGGAGTGCGGAAACCATGATTCAGCCTGCGTTACTATGGCGAAGACGTGGTCCGAAGCCCAGCGTGGTGGAGAGTATGAACAGAAAGAGGATCCCGGCCGAAGTCACATATGTACCGAGCGAGGGCGGGGAGAGGGATGCAAGGAATGCAAGCGCCCGTCTACGGCATCTCCGGTCCCTCACCGTTGCTGTGGCGCCCACAGGAATGTACTGAGCCACATTGCGCACACACACGCTAGCGCTTCCTCTCATCCCCCCAACAGCATGCCATCACGAATGAGGATTAACGTACAGAGTACGCAAGATATGAGTAACAGGCTGTCTGCCATGCCCACCCGCTGGTCATCCGACATCCGCCGGACGGTAGGGATGCCTACCCCAAGCCTATCCCCAGGCCTACCGCCACTCGCCGGCTAGTGTTCCTTGGCTTTCCCTTCCGGCGTCCTCGTCTTGAACAACCCTCGTTCTTGCACTTGGAATACAATCCTTGCTGCCCGCCTCCGGGCCTCCTCCAGGTCCTCGGCGGAACCTGTTCTTTTCCTCCCTATCAGGCTCAGTCAGCTGTCGCAGCATTGCCCACCGTGTACGTCTGACGTACCGATGATAGCCCAGTTCCTGGTACTGGGGATACGCAGACTCTCACACTCGACCTTCCACCCGCAGTACAAGCTCAAAGACGCTAGCCAGATGCGGTACCTCGAGTACGAGCTGCTGTTGCTGCCGTCCCCGCCAAGGTTCAGGCCCTCTACGAAGCTGCCATCGGGCACAGGGTAGTCCGCTATTCGCGATCGTTCGTACTTCTCGTCGAACGCCCACGCGCAGCAGGGGATGGACAAGTACCCGGACGCCTCGAAGAGGGTTGCGAGTACGGGCGTCCAGGGCGTCATCTCATCTGCGTGGTTCGCAATAATGAACACCCCTGGACGAAGATAGGGGTGGTCCCGTACCGGACCCGACTGGCTCTCGAGAGCCGTCGGATCTAGGGACTCGGCGTGTAGCTGACTTTGCGTCGATTCGGGGTAATGCGACCACGACGTGCGGGCCCTGACGTCTATACCATGGCCATCGTAGCCTTCTGCCGTGAGGATGTGGGTGAGAAGCCCGTTTCCGCACCTCCATGAGTGTGTCAGCCATACTCAGTTGTTGTGCAGATGACGCACTAGGACTCACCCTAGGTCAAGGAAGCCTCCCTGCGGACGGGGCCAATTCTTCCACGGCAAGTCGCGGAGGTCCTCCTTAGTCTGTTCTTCCTTCTGCTCCGATATGTAGCTCTCCTTCCAGAGGAGTATCAGGAATGTCGCGATGCCGATGTCCTGGATTCGAATTATGACATTGTTTCTCAACCCCTCAAATAGATGCAATGCACGCACCTCGAAGACGTGCTTAAGAGGATCGGTCACTTCCTGCCAATCATTCACTAGGTGTTTGTGCCGCTCCCGCATGATCAAGTATAAATCCTGGTATGTCGCCCTTGCGATGACACAATCGTGGTGCACCCGCTTCTTGTAGTTCGTGAGCGCGCCCCAGCCATACCGGTGCAACGTGTCCAGGAGGGCCAGACATGTGCGGTAGAGCCGGGAGTTGATGTCCGTCGGCGTCGACGGTAGTGGCTTGACCTCAATGCGGAGCAGGGGCACATCCGCTGGTACATAGTGGAAGGCCAGGTGACGGACCGCTGGATGATAGTATGGCAGTGACGTGCCGGGCTCCACGATTGGAGTGAGGACGAGGACGAGGGGTCGTTCGTCGTCCCCTGTATCCGACGCGTATAACGTGCAGTGTTGCTCCAGTCCAGTATCTCTCCCTGGTCGACGGGGAAGCAGACGTCGGTGAATGGTACGGACTGGGCGGAACTTGCCCAGACGAGGGATCGAGGACGGGAAGTGGGTCGTCGAATCCGATACTGTCTCTGAACGCAGGATAAGCGTTGAGTTGTATTCTGGATGGTGGATCAACTGGGAGACTGCCATCTCAAACTGCAGAGTCATTGTGAGAATTTTTGTTTATAGTGCGAAGAATGTTTGTACTCACGATTGCAGGAGGAAAGTCGGCGGAACACTGGATCATTGGGATCCATGGCCGCTCTTCCATATTCGACGCGAGCACGTCCGGGATCCTAACTGGCATGCATTGCGATGGCGAGAAACGAGGTCGAGCCTGAGTAATATTGGAGGCGGGTGTAGACATAGGCATGCTTCCCGGCGCAACATCGATATTGGCGTCAGTATTCTTCGGTCATCCTCGAACTGCGCCATGTCATACATGGATACGCACTTGCGTGGGCGTCGTTGCTGGATTGTACACGGACGTGGTTGTCAGCAAGCTCAACCCTGGCAGCTCTTGTGGTTCCAACAGGGAAGCCACTGCACGAGACATAGCCACAGTGAGCATGGATAGCAAAATAAATATTGAGACCCGTAGGTCTACCACTCCGGGAAAGCGTGTCATCCTTGTGCAGGGGCCATGCTAATCTTCTCTGTATCGTTCCAATTTTTTCGTATGTCACCCCGAAGGGGACAGTAAAAGAGTTCGCCGACGTCGGTGCTGGGGCGTTTTATTGACTTTTGCTCAGAGGATGGGGTGACCCCTCAGGCAAACTGACAGCTGTCCATTACAGTTGCTATTAAAGCGCTAATATGCCGGGATAGCTCAGCTGGGAGAGCGACAGACTGAAGATTTCCGGGTAAAGGTGCTTTCTGGCGGTCGCGTGTTCAATCCACGCTCCTGGCATTTTTGCCATGAATCTCTTAGGACAGCGGACAACCCGAACGTGTCATCCAACGCTCAACCACATCGTTGCGTGCAAGTGAATTCCATAGCACAAAAGCAAAGGTCTGTACAGGTTACATATACATGGTCTACACCAACATCGATACTATACAACGCATGACATTACTCAGTCCAGGACAGCGCACAGGTCGTTGAGGTTAGGCAGTCCTTAGAACTCCTGGTAAGGCGGCAGTTCTCCATCATCGTCAGGATGCTTGGCGTCGGAGGGCGGGTTCGCGCCAGAGGAGCCCCCGGCGGCAAGGAGACGCTCCCTCTCCTCCCGTTCCAGTCGCTTCTTCTCTTCCTCTGCACTCTCGAATTTGGGCTGCTCCGAGCCAGACGACTGTGAGCTACCGCCTTCGCGCAGGAGCCGCTCTCGCTCCTCCCGCTCAAGCCGCTGCTTTTCCTCTGCCGCGCTCTCCGGCTGAGCAGGTGCGCTCGAACCATATCCGGGGAGAGCATTCGTCGCAGTGCTTGCAGAAGCGGACAAAGGAGAGGGCTGCTTGAGGTCGTGCAGGGAGCCGCTGGCAGGACCTGGGCCATCGGGACCAGCTGACTTGGGCAACCCTGTCTCTGCCACCGTAGGTGTGACGGTCGGCACCTTCACAGTAGGCTCAGTGGGATCGGGGGCGACGATGGGGCTAGGCGAAGTGGCTTTGACTGGAATGGGTGCCGGTGCTTGGTTGAGCACGGCAGGATTCAAGGGAGGGGTCGCAGTTCCGTCCGGCGGAGTGGAGGCTTTGAGGGCGCTAGCTGGTGAGGCGACTCCAGCAGACGCGGGATTGGGAGATGCTATGTTGGTGGTGTGCGACGGTGCCTGAGGCGGGGTATCGTGAACAGTCGTGGGAGGGGTAACAGGGATGTTGGTCGCGGAGTGAGTATCAGCGGTGTTGATGCGGGCGAGCTCCTTGGCGTGCGTCTCTCCAAAGCTGCGAGTGTCCGATCTCTGGAGATCAGCAGCAGTGGGCTCCCGGAGGTATAGCGTCGCGTCGCCGACCCGGTAGTTGTCCAATGCTTGCTGCAATGTGGTGCGTACCGACGCCGTGAGTTGTGCTCCGGCATACGGCTGAACCTTGGACGGAGGGATGTCAGGAAGGGCTGGAAGTGCCGCGCTGGCAGCTTGAGCGACGAGTGCGAGCTTCTCCCCGTACTGCAAGGCTCGTTAGTTTCTGACTCATGAAACGGCGTATGACGACGACTTGCCTCCCTGAGGGCTTCCCACTTTAGCCGCTCGCTATCTCGTACAGCCTTCCTCTTCAACAGCTCGACCTCCTTCTCCAACGGCTCATCGTCTTCTTCTGCCTTGCGAAGTTGACGCTTGAGCTCAATGAGCTTCTGCTCCATGCCGCGCTGTTGATCATGCTCGATACGCGCAATCTGGTTCTGGAAACCCGCACGGATGTTGCGTCGTCCACTGAGGCTATTCTCCGCGTCGCGCAGTGCCTTGAAGGGCGCGCGCGATGCGTCGATCTGTTGCGCCAGAGTCACCGAAAGCGAGCCGTGGACATAGCTCATCCATGCGAGACGATCAGTCACTGATAGACAATCATGATTGGCATGTACGTGTTTTTAAGTAGTGCGGTCCACTCACCATCCTTGAGGTCCTCGGGCTCGGACTGGCCCCAAGTGTAAAGTTCCTTGCTGGTTGCATGCGCGTCACGACCAAGGTTATCGAGGTCAAGCGCCACTCCTTTCTGTGCGGTGATGATCTTCTGGACCGGAGTTACGGAACTCCTGAGATGTCGTAAGTACACGCCACAGTTTTGATATAAATGAAATTCGTACGAGTACTGCTGCTGGAAAGTGCGCAACTGGTGGTGAAGGCTTTCGAACGCATGCGATTTGAGGATGCCGCCGCTAGATGCCGGCGATTGCGCTGATCCGCCGTCGGCGCCCTGGTTGGCCCTACCGAGGGATGTCGAGTTGAGCGCGGATTGGGCCTTGTCGGCGAGCGATGAGAACAGTCCTTGCATGGCGAGAGAAGAGGGGTGAGAGGTGCAGAGAGAGCAGCGCGCAGCATGTTGAGCTTATGTATATCGCCCATCGTGGCTGGGGTGGCACTGTAACCAGGGACTACGTCATGGCGCTACAGCCACCCGCAGCTCTCACAGGGCGCCTACTTGCACCATACGTACACATACACAGGCACACACCGCATCGGTATGTACCGAGCATTGCCAAGCAAGGCCAGGGACGAACTGGGATATAGAATGTGACAATAAAGGAGAATATTACAATCAGCAGAGCAAACAGCAACTACACGTCGTTCTCGGTCGGGCAGGTCATAATCCATAACTTCACACAATGATCTTCTTCGCCTGCTTTCCTTTCTTCTCCGAGTCCTTGTGCGACAAGAACTCAACCTCGGTCGCCAGCGCTCCGGCCAAACGCTGCGCCTCCGAGTAACCCAAGACATTCGTCTTGAAGTGTCGCCCGATCGTCTCGATGCGCTCCCGGAGCTTGTCGTCCTCGCCGCCGTTCTGTCCCGGCGCCGAGCGCGTCCAGATAGAAATACGATAAAATTGGGGCCTTGTCGAGACGATGACACCAGTGATCAGCGATTGCGGCGCCTCACCACCTTCACCACTTGTCAGAAGAGGATCGAAGGTCTCGCCGATTGCAGCCAACATCTGTTAACACAGTGAGTGAACTACACGTGAGTGACGGAAGTGCACGACGTACGGTGAACAGCCACATTTTGTCCACGACGGCACGGTTCTTGTCCCGGGGAAGCTGTAGGCTCCACTTGCCACCGTTTTTGTTGGCCTCGTCCTCCCAAGCGGGAATGATGCCCTCCTATATGATTGTCAGCGGACAACGAACAGTGTCCAGAGACAGGAACGCGCCTTGAACAGGTAGTAATTGGCCTTTTGCGGAAGCTGCGATGGAGGTACAATGTTATTGTACATTCTACGGGCGAGTAGTCAGCAACAGGTTGCCCGCCAGAAGATGCGGGCTGAACGCACCCCCAGAACTCTTCCACGCTGTCGAAAGTGATCACCCTCTTGATGTCCTCCATCCAGCCCTGTGCAGCTATGCCACTCGGGGTTTGAGGAAGAGGTGTCTGCGGGAACGAGGACATCGGTGTCTGAGGTAGATTGCGACCCTTGGTTGCCGGCGAGTCAAACCACAAGGTCCAGGGAGAGTAGAGAGGGTGCTATACAACACGAATGTGAAGTCAGCTTGAATTGAACATGTACCGTACGCGTCATCCCGTGTAAAGAGGACGCACCTTGACGTTGAAGTTGGTGGGGTCATTGAAGACCGTTCGGATGGTCTCTGCCTGAGCCTGCATGTCGACCTCCTGGATCTCGCCAGGCTCGAGGCTCTCGTCCTCGCCATTCGTCTTCTTCTCGTTCTCCTTACTTTGGTTCTCTGCCAGTGCAGCGGAAAGCGCAGCTTTCGAGGCTTGGAGGGCGGGAGCGGGCAGACTTGATACAGAGGCCATGTCTAGATACGGAGGGTCTCGAAAGCCTTGACGGTGTTAAGATCGATGATACGGGAAGATGAAAACGCAGGAGAAAACGTCGAGTTGATCTGCGCGCAAGGAACGAGTCGTTGGCTGAAATGAGCGAGTAAACGGCCTTTGAAGTCTGTTGACTAGCTATGGCGTGCCAGAGATTATGCGTAAAAGACGAGCGAGAGAGAGGTGGACGAGCTGAGATGGTAGTACTTAATAACGATGCTTTGTGAGAGCCTCCGCTTGATCTGTTCTACAAACTTCGCACCACCGCGGAGCCGGGAGGCGCCGGCCGCCCGGCACCTTGCCGAGGCCGGACCGCAGAGGCCCGTCCGGTGCCGCCGGGGAGTACCACGGCAAGTACCGGGTATGTACTGAACGTGCTCGCAGGACAATCGACAACGATATGTACATACCTGCATTGTCCTGCTGCCGCTACTGCAACCAGCCCCGGCCGATCCACAGAAGGCTGATATGTGGAACGACCGTCGTTGTGAAGTAACGCATGCCCCGCAGCGGTTTGTTCAAGTGCTGCGTCCACACACAGATACCGTCGTCTTCGATCCGTTGAGTGGATGGTTTTCACCTCTTGTTCCACGTGCTGGATCCTTTCACTTCACACGAATAGCGTATTATGTCTGTGGGGGGTCTCGCGCAAGAGATATGAGCATTCCAGCGGCTTCATCGTGCACGGCAACTTTGTTCCTCTGGCAAGGCTTTCTGAACGCGTCGACACCCCAGTACCGGTTCCGGGACACACGCTCGGCTCACATCTGTACACGATCCCCATGAGCGGTAGCAGCCCTCCCCAATCCCCTCCGTACAGCCGGTTCTCGTGGGAGACCTAGAGCTGTACCGAACTGTGCCACGCTTCCCTTCCACAGTTTTTGTCCCGTCATGAGATGGTAAAATCAAGGTGTAGCCTCGTACGTTGGCAATTGCCGCCAGAACCATCTACGGAGAACGGTGCTACTTACTGTCAGCTCGAGCTCGGGGGCTCTCCAGGACCTTCGACGCCAAGTGCTGCAGATCCGATCCGGTCGACTTGGCTTCTGAGTGAGTCCTCGGACAGAACAGCCCAAGTCGCATCTACAATCAGATAATGCGGTAAGAATATATCTCCGCGATCGCCCAAGGTTCCTTCATAGCTCTTACCTCGGTCTATCCTTCGTAGCCAAGCACGTTGCGCCTACCTCTGGGTTCCTATAGACCATAACATCTCCCCTGTCCTCAGGTGCTCAAACCGGACTGTTGTACGGCTTCAGTATTTGCATCTCCCAAGAGCGGCAGTTCCCCTCCATCAGTACACTAGTCTGCGATACAGAGCTTGTCGGAACAGGCCTTGCAGCTTCCCTGCACAAAGACCCGAAGGTCGAGAGTATCGTCAACGTTTGTGAGCGAGTACCTCCTTGTCGCAGCATCCGCTGACGTCCGGTCCGCAGCGCCGGTACACTTGCAGTCGCTGGAACGTATTGGCAGATATCCATGGTGTGTCACTCGC